AGGTACAAGTTCAGTTTCTTCTGCCTGCGATGCTGTAAATGAGAAGCCAGATTATTGGGGGCAAATATGCTGACTCTGTAAACCGCTTAGAGAGGGCTGAAAGCCCTATGAAGCGGTATATAAGTCTAACTGCTATTGCTATTGCTATTGCATTAGGAGCCCTGGTGGTGCAACAGTTAGAATGTGGTATTGCAGGCTGACTCTGCCCGCAGTCTGGAGTTTCGATCCTGACCGGCTTAAGATCAACTCAGCCTTCCATCCTTCTGAGGTTGATAAAATGAGAAGCCAGATTATTGGGGGCAAATAGGCTGACTCTGTAAACTGTTTAGAGAGGTTTGTATAGCACTGTAAAGCAGCATATAAGTCTAAGTGCTATTGCTCTTCCTATTCCATTACATCTTTGATATTAGTGCAACTTTTGTCCCGGGGCGAGTTGGTTGTGGCGAATTGTCCCATGGGGAGTTGGCTGTGGTGAGTTGGCCTGGTCCCATCAGAGAATGGTACTTCCCATCCCTTGCTTGCTTGCTTTGGAAGTATATGCTCAGGGCCTGCCTTGTAGATCTCCTGCACGTTTTTTCTCCTGCTGAGCTGTAGTCCCTCTCTTCAGGTAAAGACCAAACAGAAATCAGGGACTTTCTAATTCATTTCTCGATGTCTTAACGGTGTGGTTTTATACATATCTGCTCTGAAATAAGCCCTGCTGATCTCATTGGTGCTCTCTCGCTCTCGCTCTTGCTCCCTCACTCTCTTTCACTCTCCCTCTCCCTCACTCTCACTCTCACTCTCTCACTCTCTCTCGCTCACTCTCTCACACACTCTCATTCTCACTCTCTCACTCTCTCTCTCACTCACACTCTCTCACTCTCTCATTTACTCTCACTCTCTCTCATTCTCACTCTCACTCTCTCTCACTCTCACTCTCACTCACTCTCACTCACTCTCTCTCTCTCTCTCTCTCTCACTCTCTCTCTCTCTCACTCTCTCTCACTCACTCTCACTCTCTCACTCTCTCTCTCACTCTCACTCTCTCTCACTTACTCTCACTCTCTCACTCTCACTCTCTCTTTCTCTCTCACACACACACTCTCTCTATCTCTCTCACACACACACGCGCGCACAAACAAACACACACACACCAAAAAAAACCGGTACAGTTGCAACTCTATCCACAATGCCTTCCTAGCTCTTAAGTCCGAGATCCCTCCTTCTCCCTTTTTTGTACGAATGGTTTACATGGCTTAACCTTCAGTAAAGAAAAACAAATGTTATTTCTCAAGCGATGTCGAGAAAATCTGTTTGGTTTGGGATTTCTTACTGCATCGCAAGCAGTCATGCCTCACAGTGCGTCTGTTCTGACCTAGGCCTCCTGAGAAAGCATAAATCACAATCTTAGTCCCCCAAACCCTCTTTTATTTAAACGGCTGTGAATTATGGTCAATCACAGCCCCGTAATGATTCACAAACAGCCTATGAAGAGTCCGGCAGAGGTCTGCTCGAGTTGCCACAGTCTTTCAGGGGAATGTTGATAAGTGCCCACCTTTTTCTCCCTTGAAACGCTGCCAGAGACCTAATTAGTTTTGCAAGGCCAAACGCAGCACAGAATCAAACAGGACTTTTCAGAGCTTGAACCGACCAGATGAACTAATTGCTTCCTGCAAAAGCTCACGTCGGTTTGCTCCTCTTTTGTGTCTTATGGGAGGGGCCAATCATCTCCAAGCCTTACTCCCGAGTCGCTCCTTTTTTCTTAATTGTTCTTGCCTTCTGACAGCTCTGCGCATACAGACACTGAGAACAGGCTCCCACTGTTCTTCTGCCTCACTGATGTCAGACTCCGGAGGCAGCACATAACTACCAGATGGCCCTGGCCCCATCTCTGCCTCCAACACAGAGCCCTCGTCCGAGCCTTCCCCAGACTCCAGGACTGGCCATGTTCCCCCCCCCCCCAACCTCCTCACTGTTCGACTCCGCTGCCAGCTCTGCTGGCCGCTGGCGGGCCACAACACTGTCTCACTTAGCAGCAATTTCAGTGGGCTAAAATCCGTTTGAGCCAGGCACACCGCCCCTTCCGTGAATTTTGGAAAACTGTTTTGGGAAAGCAATTTGGGAAACGGGGTAACCTCCGCAAGCTTTTGCCATTAATTTCTCAGTTAATTGCTTCGGAAAGCGTAGAAACCTGACCACTGTTTTCCTCCAAAAAGCCACTTTGGAATGACACGTCACAAAGGAAGCTGCCCGAAGAGAAAATGAAGAGGAAATAGCTTGAGAATAACAAGGTGGAATAGAAAGAACAGCAGAATTTCTCTCCCAAAAGTGCTTTTTTTTCCAAAAAGCCAACTGGACTTCCTTGGTTTTCTTTTGTGAAAAATGCTTGCTTTGAATCCAAGGCGTTTCTTCAATTCTAACTGAAGAACTCAAGAAGCTTCTTGGATGAGAAGCGAAACGTCTTCGAAGAAAAACCAGAAAATCCAGTTGCCTTTTGGAAAAAATACCTCGAGGACTAGAGGACTGGAAATCTCCATAGTCATAAGACTTTCTGCTACCCAAACATCACCTCTGCTCCTTGAAGAGATGACCAAATTCTCGGTATGCCCATTGGAGATGCCAGATTCGCTTAAGGACCACATGGTTTGCTGAATTGCCATGTGATTTGCTTATCCATCTATAAAATCTAGAAGCTCATGCTAATAAATTTAGGGATACTTTGAGTGATACATCAGGAGCCTTACCCGAAAAGTGAGCAAAACTGAAATGGCGGCTGACCAGTGGCGGGTTTCAACATTTTTTAGAACCTCTTCTATATATGTGGCCTGCTTTGTGGGAGTGGCTTGCCAGCTATGTGACTGGGTGGGAGTGGCTTGCTGGCCATGTGACCGGGTGGGAGTGGCTAACTTGTAAAATGTGGTGAAACTCACTTAACAATGCTCTTGCTTAGCAACCAAAATGTTGGCTCAGAAACTCTGGCATTTGAAGCACGCAAGTCTTAAAGCTGTCAACTTACAAGACCCTTGCACCCCTAACCCTTTAGAAAAAAAAACCTCAGGGGTGTTCAAACTTGACAGC